GCGACGGTAGTACAGCGCCGGTGGTGAAGCCACCGAGAGGCTCACGCAGCACAATGCCAGCTCTGCCCCTGGATCAACTGCAGATCACCCTCAAGGACCCGAAGACAGGAAAGCAGAGGACTTTACCAGCGCTGAGCCGGGAGCAGAAAGCAGACCGGTATTTTGTGTTATACAAACCGCCTCCTAAAGACAACATTCCGGCCCTAGTGGAGGAGTACCTGGAACGCGCCACCTTCATAGCCAAGGACTTGGACTGGCTCCTGGCCTTGCCTCACGATAAATTCTGGTGCCAGGTAATCTTTGATGAGACCCTGCAAAAGTGTCTAGACTCCTACCTGCGCTATGTCCCCCGTAAATTCGACAAGTGGGTGGCCCCGATCCCTGAGGTTGCTGAAATGCAAAAACAGCTACATCGGAGTGTTTTCCTCACCTTCCTCCGCATGTCCACACACAAGGAATCCAAAGATCACTTCATTTCTTCTTCTGCATTTGGAGAAATCCTCTATAATAACTTCCTCTTTGACATCCCAAAGATCCTGGACCTCTGTGTGCTCTTTGGAAAAGGCAACTCGACACTACTCCAGAAAATGATAGGAAATATCTTTATCCAGCAACCAAGTTACTATAATGACCTGGATGAAACCATACCCACCATCCTTGAGGTCTTCAGCAATATCCTCCAGCAGTGTGGTTTGCAGGGGGATGGAGACAGCAGCACACCCCAGAAGCTTGAGGAGAGGGGCCCATTGACCCCCAGGGACATGCCTCTCCTGGAGCTAAAGGACGTTATTCTCTACCTTTGTGATACCTGCACTACGCTCTGGGCCTTTCTGGATATCTTCCCTTTGGCTTGCCCAACCTTCCAGAAACATGACTTCTGTTACAGACTAGCTTCCTTTTATGAAACAGCAGTTCCAGAAATGGAGTCTGCAATTAAGAAGAGAAGGCTTGAAGACAGCAAGTTGTTGGATGACTTGTGGCAGAGGTTCTCCCATTCCAAGAAGAAGCTAATGGAGGTTTCTCACATCATCCTGAACCAGATCTGCCTCCTTCCCATCCTAGAAAGCAGCTGTGACAATGTTCAGGGCAGCTGTGACAATGTTCAGGACTTCATCGAGGAGTTCCTTCAGATCTTCAGCTCCTTGCTACAAGAGAAGAGGTTCCTCCGTGACTATGATGAACTCTTTCCTGTGGCTGAAGACATCAGCTTGCTGCAACAGGCCTCCTCAGTCTTGGATGAGACACGCACTTCCTACATCCTCCAGGCAGTGGAAAGTGCATGGGAAGGAGTGGACAGGCAGAAAGCCATGCATACAAAAAAACCATCAGTGGCCAAGGATCCTAGTAGAGATTCTAATAGGGTCACAGTGACAGCAGAGCCAGCCAGTAAAATGCTATCACGACTGGAGAACTCAGAGCAAGAGGAGCTCTCACAGCAGTGCATTGGAGCAGCGGCCTCCCTAGGCCCCACCATGGGCGGTGTTGAGCTGGACTCACTCATCTCCCAAGTGAAGGACCTGCTGCCGGACCTTGGGGAGGGCTTCATCCTGGCCTGCCTGGAACACTACCACTATGACCTAGAGCAGGTGATCAACAACATTCTGGAGGAGAAGCTGGCACCTGCCCTCAATAAGCTGAACCGCAGCCTAGTCAGGCAGGCAAAGCCAGTCCCCACGCCCCTACTGACATCTCGTCACAACATCTTCCAGAATGATGAATTTGATGTGTTCAGCAGGGATTCAGTGGACCTAAGCCGAATACGCAAGGGCAGGAGGAAGGAGGGGAACACTCGGAGCCTGCTGAATGACAAACGTGCAGTGGCAGCACAGCGGCAGCGCTATGAGCAGTACAGTGTGGTGGTGGAGGAGGTGGTGGAGGAGGTGCCACTGCAGCCAGGTGACTACCATGGTGAACACTATGAGGATGAGTATGATGATACATACGATGGCAACCAGGTGGGTGCCAATGATGCAGACCCAGATGATGAGCTCATCAGCCGCAGGCCCTTCACCATCCCTAAGGTGCTGAGAACCAAAATGCCCAGAGAAGGGCAGGAGGAAGAGGATGAAGAGAAGGAGGTGGAAGACAAGGGCCCCAAGCTTGACCATTTTGTGCAGGACCCTGCAGTACTGAGGGAGAGGGCAGAAGCCAGGCGCATGGCCTTCCTTGCCAGGAAGGGGTACCGGCATGACAGCTCAACAGCAGTGGCCGGCAGCCCGCGGGGCCATGGACAGAGCCGGGAAACGACACAGGAACGCAGGAAGAAGGAAGCTAACAAAGCAACAAGAAGCAACCACAACCGGAGAACCATGGCTGACTTCAAGAAAAGCAAAGGCATGATCCCTTCCTGAGGCCTCCTCTCCATCTGGCTCTTTGTGGGCCCCCAACTTCAATCTGACCCCTCAACAGCCTCAGCTTTGCAACCCCTGAGAAGGCCACCTCGTTGCCCACCAGCCATCCAGGAGCACCTTCGTGTAGAACACACATGCTTTATCCCTTGGCAGAGCCTACGGGCCATTGAGAAACCTCTTTTCCAGCTGCACGGGTGGAAAGGATAGCCCCCAAGACAACACCCCCAGACCTCGTGCACCAGACACCACTTCCCTTTACTCCTGGGTGGCAGGAAACCTGTATGTTCAGAAAGAAAACAACAAGGCCTACAAATAAAGTTTCTGACCCTTTCCAGCAGCAGCAACAACAACAACAACAAAACAGAGACTTGATCTTCATCTCCTTGACCAACCAGCCCAGCTTGGTGACCAGGATCCACTCCTTGTTCTTGGCCTTGCTGCTACGAGCCCTGTGGGCTGGGCTCCAGCCCCTACCATACCGTTGGCCTTTAAGGCCACTACTGAAGCCAGGCTAACACAGCCTTCTATGGATGGGTCTCTGTTGCCTCTGGACTCTCCTGCTACATTGGCCCCATCTACCATTTGGTGTTTTCTTGAGAAAGAAACTCTTGTTATTAATTTATTATTATTATTATTATTATTATTATTATTATTATTATTATTATTATTTAGATGAGCATAATGGTTCATGCTTGTGATCCTAGCACTC